CTACCAGCCTGCTCCAGTTCTCTACCAGCCTGCTCCAGTTCTCCACCGGCCTGCTCCAGTGATTCCCCTGCCCCAAGAGAGCCATCTCCACCAGACACAAGAGCTCCGACCAGAACAAAGCAGGCACGGAAGAGGGAAAGGAGGGACGATGATGATTTCTGGAAGATGCTGGAAGCCATTGACCAGTGCAGAGCAGAGAGAGCCCCGAAAGAGGATTCTGAGGAGGCACGGTTTGCCTCTACAGTGACTGACATGCTAAGAAAATTGCCTTCAGGAATCAGATCGCTGGCACAATTCCGTATACACGAGCTCCTTTTCAATATGGAACAAGAATGTGCATCAGCAAACCTTCCACACAAAGCTTAAAACAACCTGCTCCCTCTGCTGTTACAGCCTCAGAAACACACCGGGTGCTCTCACAAGAGCAGGAAAGGCAGGCGAGGTTCATGTCAGCTTCTGTCCAGGCAACACCTGCAAAAATACTAACTTCTGGACTGGGGAAATCAGCTCAAACGAGAGCTGAATTCAGCTAAGAAAGACAGGAAATTTGTGCTTGGTTGATTTACTATTATTGGCGGCTGTGGCTGAGTGGTTAGAACAGTCGTCCTCCAATGCAAGAGTTGGGGGTTCAAATCCACCAGCAGTCACATGCCGAAGTGTCTCTGGGCAAGACACTGAACTCATTGCCTCCGCTGTGTGTCCCATCGGTGTATGGATGTGATCTAAAAGCGCTGATTAGTCTCTTTAGAATGATTTGTTCAGTTAGCTTTATATCTAGTAGAGTGCTGTATGAATGAGTAAATGAGGACACAGATTGTAGCGTAAAGAGCTTTGAGTATCTTGATAAGATAGAAAGGTGCTCATTTGCTTCTTTGTTATAACACTACTTCCTGACAGCTGAAGTAAATTTCATAGGAAAATGCCTCTCGAGTTAGAGTATGTGAGTTGTATGCTCATGGAAAAATTGTTTGTCGAAACAGTTTACTCCGTTTTTTTTTTTCCCTCCTTTGGATGAAAAATAAGACGTATTGACAAAATAACAATTTATTCATTTAGCAATGGTCTCAGCAGCTTCTTGTGGAAGAACCATATACAGCCACAGCACCAGTCACACAATGCTGTGGGACAACATCCCATTCTTTAACTAGCATTTAACGCTTAGTCAGTCAATGTTGTGTTCATGCATTCCAATAAAGGATGTGCCTCAGGGCTTGGTGCTAGAATCCTTTTTTTTTTTTTAACAGCACCTTAAGTTTAGCGCCCCCTCCCCACATTCAGCCTTTTTTGTCATGACTAAGTAATCCTCCACTTTATTTATTATTCCCACCAAATAATGATTTGTCTCGTTTAGTGTTTATTTGAAATATCTCAACTCACCTACAGAGTCACTCGGCCTTGAAAACTCAGTAAAACATGCGTTTGCTTCTTCCTAACCTGTTTTACTCTAATTTGTAAACTCAAAAAATAAAATGAAATAAGAAAACCAAGTGAAAATTTGTTTGGACAAACACAGGGTGAACATAAAAATAACATGTTCTCTGCATTTTTAATGAACAAAACAACACATTTACACCAGTCAAATAACACATTTCAGATAATCACAGACCAAACTGTGACATTCATTAGGATGTAGTTTCTTTAATTAAAACTTCACCACTGTAAGTGTTCATGGTATTCCACTTGGACATGCATGTAAAATATACTCATATAGTACAGAAATGTACAGTACAACGTAATATACCATCAGTCTGACAATGGGAGTGTAAAAGACTAATATACTATGTGCAACTAACATTGTTGCATTTTTCCATTTAAATGTTCCTTTTACAGGAACTCTTAATAATAAAAGGCCAACGACTGAACTGACAAATGCAAATTTACCAGTTTAAAATAAATTAATTAAGAAGTCAAAAGACGAACCAAATTTATCTTAAAATGCTTAAGAATGGGGCTTTATATAGATTTTGTAGAGACCAAACAATATATTCATCAGTACAGTCAAAAGCATTATGATGAAGGGGGAAAGGGAAATGAGAGAAAAAGGTGCCCAAAACACAAATAAACAAACAAAAATAACGCTAAATATAGTTTTAATTTTTGTTTCATATAGACAATCCATATGGGACTGTTGGCTGAATATAGTGCCAACAAGTAAAATAAAATGCCAGGGTCACCATTGGGACTGTAGGATGAGAGGTTCAGTCAGAGGTTATACATTTAAAGTAAATGGCAAATTCCCAACCAGGTATACAGTAAAAACCATAAAAACTGTTGTGAATAAAGTTTTGAGAATTTGGATATCTCAGAAAAAAAAAAGAGTTGCAAACATTTGAACAGAAAAACAAACTCTCGGTAGTTTAGTGCATACAGACAAGTAGTTATAATAACAGACACGTTTTACTTTTGAAATATTGTATCCTGTAAATATACAATTAGAGCAAACAAGAAGAGAAATGCATAAACAAGGAAAAACAATCTGCTTCGGTGTTTATGTAAAAAAACCAGATATTTAGTAAAATATCTTAACATTTCTAATGAACTGGAGCCTCGAACGTGTCTTTGCCGTGACTTTCCACCAGATGACAGACAAGTTCTGCAGTAAGTTTGCTTTCAATCGATTAAAACAGGATATAAAAAGTGTTGGAGGACCTTTACGAAGCAACTGTTAATCTGCTGAAATAGACAAATTAGAAAAAATAAATATTTTTCCCAAAAGATAGTAGTTTTTTCTAATAAGCTCTTTTTTTTAATTAGTGGGAAAAATCTGAGGCACGAATGTGATCATAAGGCAATGAAGAGCAGATGTGTGTGTGTGTGTGTGTGTGTGAAAGATTGTGTCGAAGTGCAAGAAAAAAAGCATGAACTGTAGACTCGGTCACTAACTTCTGCTTCACAAAACAATAGTCAGGCTATTTATTTCCTGTCCCAGGAGGTCTTTGGAGATTCACAGATCTGTTTTTATGTCATTATGGCTTAGTTTACGGTTTGGTAAAAAGAGGGTTCATCGCACTGCCACCGAGCAGCAAGGATGTTCAACCATCCTGAGAAGTGTGAAAATAGCAGTTACAGGAAGTCCTGAACCCACATGCAGCAACAGTAATGAGAGGATTTTATAGAAAAACAGAAGAAGGCAACCCAAACATGAAGGACATTGAAGGCTCAACTTCCTTGTGGTTAGATGAAAATTAAACTAATTTAAAAAGCTACGATAAAAAAATTAATTTGTAGACTTATTTGAGAGGATTTGCCGATTAGTAAACAGCTGCACATTCTTTGTTAGTGACGCTCAATCAGAAAAAGTTGAACGCATCAAGTCTGGAGATTTATACGATCGCACACAGTAAATGCATTTGACCATAAAGGGGTGTGTGTGTGTGTGTGTGTGTGTGTGGTTATTGGATTCATGTTGTGATCATATTAAAGTGGAATTGTTTGTCAAATATTTGGTGAAACAGAGATCAGAACTATTATGATGACCAGGATGTGAAATGTTTCGTGTGTGGGTGTCTGCGTGGCTGAGTCAAGGCACTACTCCCTGCTGATAACAGCCTTGTGTGTTTTATCCATTTGATCAAGGATGTTTATGTAACAATTGTGTGTCTGAACCAGAGCTGTAGGTCTTCACATGAAAAGTTCATCACGACGGCTTATCTGACGCAGTTCATTAAAGTCTGGTGAGGAGTGATGATCAGGAAGGAGGGATGAGCAGGAAGACCAAAGGGGGATATTGGAGTCCAGCCCCTGTAGTTTGTGGCAAAGTGAACGGGAAGCTCTCAAAAGTCTCAGTCCATTACCAGAAGGCTGTTGCTGAGCTCCAGGCCACAGCATCATGGCTCCGCAGGAGGAGTAAAAACAGGTAACAAGGTGGAGATGTGAAATTCAGGCTTGGAAGGTTGTGGGTGGTGAGTCTTTTCTTCCTCTGGGTGATGAGCCACATCTGGGACAGCGGTGGTGCTGCTCATCATCTGGCAGCAGAATGAGACTGTGCAGCTATGATAATGTGAGAGGGTCCGCTCTCAGCCCTCTGCTGCTGGCCCATCCCTGCCAGAACAGACATGGCCATGGCCTCAGCTGCAGCCCTGGAGCTCAGGCCGTTATGTCTTGTGGAGGGGCTCGGTGCCAAAGAACTGTGCTGAATGACCGGCGCTGGGGAACCTGTGGGCTCTGACGTGTCTTTCAAACTTTCTTCTGCAGCTAAAGAGGGAAAAAAACAAAGAAGCTCAAGTACAGATTTTATAAGTGTGCAAATAAATATATATTTGATTGCTGTAAAATTAAATGATGAATTTGTAGCTGAGACAGTGTTTACTTTACATATTAAACGGTTGTGAGTCCTGCGTGGCTGAAAGATAATTTGTTTGTATAATTGTCATATTGGTCAGCCAATAAAACTGAAAACAAACACATGCTCTTCAGATGTACAAGTTTGTCTGAGACAAAACAAGCCTCCCTTAACAGTAAACTTTAAATACCACCATGTAGGTTGAAGAACAGACTGAAGCTGTGAGTCGGGGTCTTACCTAGGTAGGCGGTTTTCTTTTGTAGGGTTGTTACAGGACAATCCTTGTGGGCCAGCAGCAGCTGCTTCAAATGAGCAACCTCATTTCGCAGCAGAGACACCTCATTCTAAAAAGATGAAAAAGAAAGCATAGTACACACTTTATTTATTAGTAACACTGAAAAGTAGTTATCGCGTTTTAATATCTATTTTCCCTTGAATGATTTTAATGAATGTTCTTTATGCTGCTTTGATTCTAAAACATATAAAATTCAAAGTAGAAAAGTTGGCATACAGTTAAAAAAAACAACCTAACACAACATTTTGATTTAAATCATGCTGACCTCCAAGGCTGAAGTCTTGCAACACAATACATTTACAAATGCACTTAGCAGTTCCTTTAACTGACATTGTTCATCTGGAATAAAACTAGTTGAGGCTTATGAGCTGCGCGTTTCATCCTCGTCCGCCCACTCCAAACCCACTCACCGACAGTGAGATGTTAAGAGAGCTGAGCTCCTCGGCCTTCTTCTCTAGAGAGTTGACCCACAGTTTGCGTTTCTGTCTGCAGCGCGACGCCGCCGCCCTGTTCCTCTCCAGGAAGCGCTGCCTTCTTTCATCTGGGTCGTCGTCTACCGTCCGTCGTCGACGCCCACCTGTAGGCTGCGCTGGAGATACCTTGAGGGAGAAAATGGCAAGAAGTCAAAAGGAAACAGACAGACAAGCGAGGGGAACGGAAGCGAGACAAGAAAAAGGGAAGTTTGAGTCATAGTATCATTATTTAAAGCCAACAAACACCTAAGCACATAAAGTGCAACATATATTTTCAGTAATTTGAAAAGGTTCACTTCAGTTTTTGTTTTCAAGTTTTTGCCTTAAAGAAGTACCTGGGGTTGTGCAGGTGACGGAGCATCTGGATGCTGGACGAGCAGCTGACTCTGCTCTGCCTTCTGAGGTACCATGGGGCTGCTGCTCATGGCCATGACCCCCAAACTCTGTCCTGACGGGCTCTGATGGGACAGTGCAGCCTTCAGACGCTGCAGAAGTACAATTACATGAGCTGCATCAATAACCAGTTCAGGAAGTGGTATTCACAAGCCAAAGAGCCAACGAAAACAAACCGTAAAAGAGAGCGCCTCATCACTGGAGTGAATTAAAAAATTTATTTTCTCCTGCAGCATATTCATGTGATATCCTGATCTACCTCACTCAACCTCTTTGTACTGAGATTGTCCTTGAGGCGTTGCATCATCTGAGGGCAAGTTTAATATCATGTTACTTTGTGATTCTTCACTGTCCAGAAAAAATAACACTTTAAAAGCAGTCATTCAAGGAACGCGAGGCCTTTAATTTTGCATTTGTTTTAATGCCAACAGAAAGTGGCTTCGCTTTCTTGAAGGTATTTTAGTTGCAAACAAGGCTTCTTGCTTTACATCAAAAAGGGTATGTACTTGTAAAAAAAAAGCAAGAGGTCCTCTGAAAAAAGAAACAATAATAATTCAATGGTACGTCTATGGATTTTGTGAAAAAAAAAAAAAAAAAACTTTATTTGACATGACATGCTTCTGATCCACTGAGGTGTCAAGCACAATACCAATATTCTACCCTGAAGCTGTTACTCATAAATCCCTAACCAGGATTATCACTGTGAAAAAAAAAAACTAACTAAATAAATAAATAAATCACTGTAATGCAACTTTCATTGTTGATATTTACTGCTGATTATCCATACTGCTGATCTCATGCTGCTTATTATTTCATGCTGCTGTATTCATTCATTCGTACTCATCTGCCCACAAAGACTCATGTTTGTGCTGCTGTTGCTCAGTGCATTGTTTTGTGCTTTTAGTGTTTAGCGTATAGCTTAAATCTTTTAGCGTACCGTTTGGCGTATATCTTAGTTTATATCTTAGATCCTTATTTACTGTTTCTTTCTACACTTTATATTTTTGCTATTGTTGGATATAACTGTGACCCTGTGTACACAATTTCGTTCCACCTCATATACCACATGAGATGCGAATGACAATAAAGAATCTTGACCTTGGCATTCATTTTGTTAACTTTAATGTACTTTTGGTGTATAACCTGCAAGTTTGCACTGTAATATAGCATCAGATTGAACTCAGTATTTACAAATATTTAATCCTACATGACTCGGACCAGTATCAGACACAAAAGTGACAGGAAAAACTCTAGACTAGGACATCCCTAGTTCTCTGTGTGTTTCAGTAAGAATAGCGTTGTTGAGTCTAAGGGTTAAATACACAACTTGCTGCAATAAAAAAGTCAGATGATGAACAAACTCAGCCTGGAGGGTGAAGATGGAGAGAAGAACAGATAAAAAGGGATAAAAATAGAGCGCTAATCTAGCACTGACCATCTTGGCTTCTGAGTGGATGCTGTAGCCGGAGGGGGAGTTTGAGCCGCTGCTGCTGCCTCCCAGTGGGGGACCAGGGATGCCAGGAATGTTGGGTACCATACACATGGGCCGGGCCAGCTGGAGACCATATAGATATAACACACAAATACATCTGAATTAATACCTAACCAACTTCTTGACTTTAAAGTTAGACAGCAGACTGCCTTACGTTAATGACAGACGGTATATGAACAGGACCAGGGAAGACTGGCACCGGCTGGCCAGAGGGAAGCATCATCATCGGGTAGTGACTGGTTGGTGAACTAAACAGTTGACAAACAGATCAGTCATATTTCTAAATAAATTTAAAAAAACAATGTTCACACATACAGTAAAATGTTTCGCTAAGATTTTGAGCCACCCTTCCTCTCTTCCTCGTAGTGTTTTTAAAATGTTTTACAAGACTGGAGAAGTGGAGGACAAAAGGAGAAGTAGCTGATATAAATAACCATCTACAGCAAATGAACCTTAAAGGGATGCCTTGAGTAATAAGAGAAAAAAATATTCAGCTAAAACTTAAAAAAAATGACATATATGACTTGTTTTAGTTGATAAATTTATTGTTAGCCAAGCATTCTGGGTTATCTTTGGCATTTTTTGTAGAACAAACTAAAAAAGGGAACAAAGTGCTTGTTTGTGAAAGGCTGCTAGAAACAAAAAAACTAAAAGTCGTGGTTTTAAAAGATTCTCTCCCAGGTCTTTGGTTATATAGTATGAAAACTACGCTACACCTTGTCTTGCTGAAAGTCAGCGTTTAGCTGCTAAAACTATTTTTACGACAATAAATACGAGAACTGGACAAAAAAATGAACATTAAAATTGTAATATTATAAATATTAATTTTTTATAATATTTATAATTCACAGTAAAAAACTTTAAATACATGAATTAACTGAGCACCGATGTAAATTTAAGGATAAGAAAAATCACATCTTTTTTTTTGTATTTACATACTTGTTTTAAAAAAATAGCACTCTACATTCATTATTATTTAGTTGATTTTGTAAAAAAAAAAAAAAATTTAAGTTCTAGTAAAAGGTATTTTTATGGTTATTCTTTATTGCTATTGTATTTTTTTGGGATATACCTTACAGATGTTTACCCTTCACGGTTTTATCTATAGCTTTGCTGCTTATTGAGACAAAGATTAATTATTCTAATCTTCTGTAATATAAAACTAAAAATTTACTTAAACAACATAATGTAATAAAAACAATAAAATCTAACTGTCGTATAAAACAAAGTAAAATACTAAAAATGAACAAATTTGCAAAGATTTTTCTAGTGACCTTATCAAATGTTTCATGTTTGAGAATGATGTAACTTTATGATGTTTGTCACACTTGACTAGGGCTGGACAATAAGTCAATATCAATATACACTGCCTGGCCAAAAGAAATCTTTTCCACGACCACGTGATGTGTCTTTCGACATGGTTGTTTAAGAAAAGAGAAGCAACTCATTGCACCAGTTGGAGTTAAATAACTTGTTTCCAGCTGAAAGATAATCACCCATGCAGTAATTATCCAACAGGAGGCTCGTACCTATTTGCTTAGTTAAATCCAGGTGGCGACTTTTTTTTTGGCCAGGCAGTGTATATCGCAATATACTTTTATTCAATAACGGTGATATGAGTTTTAAGCACATTTCCGATATTTCGATATATATTACACGCTATGATTACAGCGTTTCACTGACTGACGTTCACGATGCAGCCGATTCAAGACGAACAGAAAAAGCCGCAACACATTGGCTACGTGAGTGATGACGTACACCACAGACATGGAGCCTGAGCCCAGAAGCTGTAGGTTGTGCTCAGCGGGGCTAGGCTAGGCTAAACTCCAACGCGGTAAGTTTTAGCTACAAAATGAGTGCCCATGACCGTAATACAAACGTGACTGAACAAGCTTTCACAAGCGAAGAAAAAGCAGACAACATAGTTGATAAGAGAGGAAATACTGATTCGGCGGTGTGGAAGTGGTTCGGCTATCTGATAAACTTCAGGTTTCAGTGTTCTGCAAAATGTGTCTGAGAGTCGTGCCAACTAGCAGTGGGAACACATCGAACCTGTTCCACCATCTGAAGAGTTTCCACTCGATAGAATATAGTGAGTCAGAAGATGAAGCGCAATAAAAGTTGAAGCCAACATGTCCCTGAAGCATCAGTCCCAGCTGTGTCAAAAGGGAAACCCATGCAGCAAACACAGATCACTGCATTCGTGCCTTACGACAAGAACTCCAAACGCCATAAAGACGTAACTAGGTTTGTGTTTGGTGTTGCTCACTTTTTTCTGTTTATTGCAGCAATCCTGAGCACTTTTATTTTTTAGCCTGGCTGAAGCACCTTTGTTTAAATCAATAAGAAAAACATAATAAGTCTATGTTCTTTTAAGTTAAAGCTATTAATATTGACAAAGTTCAGAGTTTTGTGTTTACTTGACGGTGATTTTAATTTTCTTTGAAGGCTAAATACAAATAAAAGGTGAACATTAATTTATTTGTACAGTTTGTAATTCTAAAATGTTATACAGCCGGAGTTTCATAGGCTTGGAAAAATAATTTTTAGTTTTACAAGCATCTGTTGTGGGCATTCTTGG